GCAAGGATATGATTGTGGTTAAGATGTGTGTGTGACCAGGCAACTCTGGGAACTAAATGATGTGAGGCAACACCCTTTTGCTGAGCTCCCCAGACTTGGCCTTCCTCATGTGGGCTATCCCGAAGGAAGGCCTGGGCAAGTCTGCCTTCTTCTAGGCGAGCACTTGTTTATCTTGAACTTTTCAGGGTGTTTTTTGGTTAGTTTGAGTCAACCTGCTCCTCTCTACTCTTCTATAATCTTCTTGAGCCAGTTTAGGGTTATCTAACAACTAACCTAGTACTGGGGATAGGAGCTTAGGAAAGAGACTATACACGATCGTGTATTTCCTAGCAGTATTTAAGGAGCTTTCTCTTGGCAGAAACTGATGAACCATGACCATCTTCAAGTGCTGATTTGGGGTAAGTTGGCCAGACTCCCTCTCTCTTTGGACTATATTCTCCTTGACCTTGCCCACTCCTGTAGCTGTCTGGACTTTCTTGTCAAAATGATATTTTGTTTTTGTTGTGCTAAATTTGTTCCAGGGACTTTTTTTTTTTCTTCTTACACTGTATTCCATGATCAACTGGGAATTTTAAGAAAGGGGGAAGAAAGCTTAATTTCTTACAAAGTCTTTGAATCTGTCAGTTTAACTCATCAGGACTAAAGGGATGAGCTGATTTGAAATGCGATAACCAGCTAAATACACACACACACACACACACACGTGTCACGCACAAATATCTATATTTGCATCAAAAAAGTTTCGAGATGCCAATATATGTTTCTTGCCGTTAGCTGTTTTCAAACCAAGAAAGAAGAGAGTTTGGTAGTGGTTTTTGCTGCTTGGATTCATTCTGGCTCCCAACCCTAATTACCAGCTGTGATTCTTTTTATTTTTTTTAAGGAGTTATTTATTTATTTCAGTGAGAGAGAGAGAGAGAAGGGGGGAGGGGCAGAGGAAGAGGGAGGGAGAAACTCAAGCAGACTCCATGGTGAGCGGGGAGCCAGACATGGGGCTCGATCTTATGACCCTGAGATCAGACATGAGCCGAAACCAAGAGCCGGCTGCTTAACTGACTGAGCCACCCAGGGACCCCCCCAGCTGTGACTAAGCAAGTCACTCAACCACTTTGCTTTAGTTTTCTTTCTTTTTTAAAAGATTTTATTCACAGAGGAGGGGAGCAGAAGCAGGGGGAGTGGCAGGCAGAGGGAGAGGGAGAAACAGGCTCCCCGCTGAGGAGAGAGCCCAACATGGGGCTCGATCTCAGGACCCTGGTATCATGACCTGAGCCGAAGGCAGATGCTTAACCAACTGAGCCACCCAGGCACCCCTAGTTTTCTTTATTATATTATTGTGTGCGTGTGTGTGTGCGCACATGCATGTGTACGGGCCTACATAGCATCTTAGATTGACTATGGAGATTGAATAAAGGAATAAACGTTTGATTATTATCATGAATAGTTTTATAATGATTATGATTGAGATTAAAAAGGTATGCCCCTAGAGGTAGGACTAAACTAGCCTTGGTTTAAGGTCCTCCGGTGATTGAGCTACTCTTAAAGGCCTAAGGGCAACCATCCTTCAAATTTCAGAGCATGTTGGGGATGTTAGGCATGGCAGAGTTTCTGCTTTGCCATATTCCATGAAAGCCTGGAGGCTCAAGACGCCCCAAGAGGTCAAGTGAGTACTTACAGTAGGGAGATGTTTATCAGCCTATGGATTCCAAGTTCTACCAATTCTGCAAATGATCTTTCAAAGGGAACTCATATTCAAAATGCCCTGCATCTGCTTATATATTCTTTTCAGCTAAACACTATATATTTTAGGAGACAATACTTCTTTGATGAATAATTATTCATATGTAAAGTGGAAAAGTTTTTTCCTCTTCCTGATTATAAATGGTATCCAAGTAGCTCTTGAATTGCTAGATAATATTTTATAGCCTGTGAAGTTAGAGAATTTAGCAAGTAGCCGCACTTCCATTGACTTAAAGGATATTTCCAAACATGTGTGAGAAAATTAGAAAGTTGAGTGTCCTGTACATGCATTTGCATTGAAATTTATGACAGTTCCCAGGCACAATCACATCAACCACACATATCCATAGATTGTTTACCACGTTAAGTAACTGTGATTTTGGATTTAATTGCCAACTTTTACTGTACCAGTAATTCCAGACAGGGGAATAACAGAGTGAAGAGGCCTGTCCCGGTTGTTACTGCTGCCTATAAAAACAAATAAGATCCTTAGGGTTTAATTAGAGAACTTATAATTATACCTAAAGCATGCTAGTGTTAAAATGTGAACATTGGACATCTGGAAGATGTGTCTAGATTTGGTTACTTGCCTTTAGGAATCTAAATTGTGACCATCCAAAGGAGCAGTGATGCTCACACCTGGGGCTTGTGCACAGGCAGAAACGACAGTGGTGAATGTGAGCTGGTCTGCAAAGCAGAGTAATTCAGAAACGATGAATGGAAAAGGTGTTTAACATCACAAGGAATCCAAGATGATGACTGGCTTCTTCGGCCCTGCCGTGAACAGAAGTCATTTAAAAGAAGAGTAGGTACATAAAAAATGTGTTCTTCCTTCATAACCCTCCTTTTTTTTAAAGAGATATATTTATTTATTTTAGAGAGAGAGAGAGAAAGAGTTTGGGGGGAGGAGCAGAGGGAGAGAATCCTCAAGCAGACTCCCCACTGAGTGTGGAACCCAACGTGGGGCTTGATCTCACAACCCTGAAATCATGACCTGAGCTGAAACCAAGAGTCAGCCGCTCAACCTACTGAGCCACTTAGGCACCCCTTCATAAAAGCTTTCTAACTTGTGGCCTCTGGAACTCAGCCACACAGGATGCCTGCTGGTATCGGAGTCTTTTAGGAAGAGAATGACTGAAGGACCACCTCTGGTTACACAGGCTCAGTGGAAAGGAGAATGTACAGCTAAAGGCATAGAACAGCTTTGATAGAGAGCATCAGCCCTCTTCTCTCCCTCCAATGCCAAACAGTATTATAGATATATTTGTGTGTGTGTGTGTGTGCGTGCAAACGTATACAAACATGTTTGTGTGTGTGTGTATATTCCACATATATATTCCATCCTCATAAGTGCAGTAGAAATGTTAATAAGAGAAAGATAGGATACTTGTTTCCATTTTTTCTTCCAAAGTTATGAAAAGAAGGTGTTTTTTTTTTTTCGTTCCTTGTAAGGTTTTAGGAATAACATTGAGAAAATTTCTTCTATAATTCATAGCAGATTCCATCAAACACTAGTTTTTTTTTTTTTTTGTAGTTTAGGAATAAAATTTCAGGCTTCTTGGCATAGTTTATATTCCCTCTCTTCCTCCATAAAAAGATAATTTCAATGTCTCCAAGTTACAAGGAGTCTACTCTACATGGTTAGGCAACATTTAAATTATACGATTTAGATTACTCTAGAGTAAAACTCCTTAAAAACAGAGAGCACAGCCTAAGTGTATGGTCTAGAGGCAAGAGTAAATGGAGTGGAAAGTAGTAAAAGGTTGGCTTAAAAGTTTTAATACTTATGATCTGGGAGCCCGCTGCAGTTACGTACTCATTGGGAGACACAGATGGGACAAGGCAGGTACGTGTTGAGGGAAGCAATTTATGAATACTCAGCCATGAAATGGAAAATCAGAATGAAATAAGTACAACTGTAACTAGCTTGGTCTATTAATATTTAAATATTAATAACTACTTTTTTCTGAGAGACATTACCGAATATTTACTGACGAGCAGCAATGATCGCTTGGGAAGAAGAACATGTTCAAGAGCTGCATTTAAACAAGGTTTGAATGACATGTGGTTTTCTTAACTCAAGGTAATAGTCAAGCAATTAAAATAAATTCCCCATCCAAATGTGTCTTCAAATTTAGGGTCTGTTGGAAAAAATTTCCAAAATGCATTACAACTTTTGATAAGGGTGACACCTGGTCCTATTTTCCAAAAACTTTGATTTAATATATGAATGCAGTGGTATCTGACTGTGTTAGTATAGAATATTTAAACTTAAAAACAAAATACCTTAATTTGTTTATGCATAAGCCTATTAAAAATGTTTCTAGGGGCTCTTGTTTTGTTTATTCTCTAGAATATAACCTATCTTTGAAGTGGTATATGAGTTTTTAAAAAGTCATTCCCAAGCTAAGTAATTAGACTGGAAACAAAAGCTATTCTTAGAGCACATTCCACATAGAAAGCTACGCACATGATGCTTTGATTCAAATAATATTCTTATAAAACTTTGTTATTGTTTGAGGCCTATATTCAGAGTGGCAACTTTTGTTTTTGATGATTATTCCATCCTGAAACAATTTCCCCCCTGCCCAATTAAGCCAGAATTAGGAGCACATTTATATCTGATGAGGCTTAAACTTCTCAACCGCCTGTTTCAGAAGAGAAGACCTTTAGTGGTTATGTTCATTCTGTCTCTGCACAGAGGGCTCAAAAGAAAACAGAATCAATTCCCTTAAGTTTTTCTGGAAGAGGAAGGTTGTTTTTGTTGCTTTGATCTTAGCATGTTGTGCATTTTTTATTGGCTGTTGAATATAAAAAGCCATAGCCTCATCTGGTTTTTCTGCTATATTCTCATATTGTAAATCACATATGCCTTCCAATCTAAAGTTAAATGCCTAGTCCAAAATATTATTTCAAAATTGGTTTATCATAGAAAGATTTCCAGGGTGTGAGGAAACTCTCCAATGTTCAAATAGTATGTCATAGACTGCTAAAAATATATTCATGCATTTTAGACAACAAATTTCAGGATGTAGACATGTACTCATGCTATTTTAGATCCCTTTTCCTATCATTGCAAGAGGCTGTTGAAGCTAATGTAGCAGCTGGCTAGGTTATTGCTTCTATAATATAATCCATAATGCAAAAGCAGCTATTTCCCAAACATTTTAGAGCAAGTCAAGTTGTTTACACATCTCTGTAAGGTAATTTTCCTATAAATTTGTGCCAATTGGTGTCATACTATTTGGGAAAAATTCATTAAATCGAGACAACTACACTTAGTTTAATTCTCTCTCACACGGAGAATTGTAGGAAAATTACAGTTAGCTGATTGGAGGCCATCATGGAGTAAATACAGGGTTTTAGAGAAAGAATGCAAACTACAAAAATGGAGTTGTATAATTAAACATCAAATAGTCCAAGTAATAAAAGTCATAGATTAATTGTCTCTCAGTTCTAGTCAGATCCTTTAAATATTGTCTCACGACCTGAGCATTGGTTCTTTCATCAGAAGAGTGCCTATCCTTAAAGTTTGGAAATTTCAGCCCTTTTGGAGCGCCCACGAGCTGTAAAAAGTAATTGGCGTCTTCTTCCAAAGTTTCGAATTTCCCTACAAAATCATAGTTGATCAAACACGGATAGCAGAGTTTGCTGACCTTTTCCCAGTGAATGTCCATTCCTACGGGACGGTGGGAATCCAGCAAATAGTGGACAAACTCTTTGAATTTGACTCCTGATCCATTATTTAGTGCTTCTTCACAGGCATTTGGCCGATATTTCTTTATAATCGCCTTCCCAAATACCGGATGGTAATAGCTATTGGGGTGTTCAAATTTGTCCCTAAATGCAGACACTAACCTTTCCATGGGATCACGAACAAAAACAGCTTTGGTGTAGGTGTTCAAACGAGTATATATCCCTTTTAAGTCAAAGCTATCTAGTTTTTTCAAATGCTTCCCGTAGTGAACAGCATCATGGGAGATGTTGTATGCAGAGGAAGCCAACCCACTTAGTACCATCAGAATTCTCTTCCAGTTGGAGCAGCCAGCCTTGGGTACTTCACAATATAAGATTTTGTGTTTATCTTCCACATAGATCCTGGATACCATATGAAAAAGATGTGACTGAGGACGACTCACCCCACCATATTTCTTGCAAAACTCCTGAAGGAAAGACCTGCGTGTCTCCTGGGCCACATCTGTTTCCTTCCATCTGTTATCTTTGACTAAACTTTTGTTTAAAGGGCGGATGTCCAATGGCCATTTCCTTTCGCTGAACTTCTTAAAAACGATCCTAGTTCCTTCATGTTTTTCACTTAGCTTAATTGTTGGTGGCCCTGTGGTCTTAACCAAAGCTCTATCCTCTCCTTGTGAGTGGCTAGTCTTCCTTAAGACCCTAGTTGGCCTCTCAGAGTTGAGCAGAAGATTTTCTTTTTTTCCCTTGGGCTCCTCAGTTATGTGGAACTCGGGGTTCTGTTAAAATGGAGAAGGAGAAATGTTGAAAGCATATTCACAAACCTGGGTATACAAGAATCGTAACATATTTGTTTTAGAATACTATCGAGGAGAGCACATTTCATGTAAGCTGCCAAAACAATTTAGCAAAGCATGCTGAATATACATTCTTAGTAAGTTTCTTCAGAGAAAATATAACAATGAAAATGGTATCCATGCTTCATTCTGAACCAAAGTTTCACATTTTATATTATATATATTTGGATTACTTACATGTTATCATTCATTTAATGTTAATGTGCTGCATTACATTAATAGATTTTCTCATGCTAAATTATCTGAGTGTTATTGGGATAAAACTACTAGTATTGATTTGAGTCTATGATCATAGTAAATCAGTTATTGTTTTTGTACTATCTTTGTTATCTGTGGTTATCAATTATATAACCTTCCAAAATGTGCGTGTGCGCATGCGCACACACACATCTATATATAGACACACACACACACACGCACAGAGTAAACACAAGATGGAAAGGAGAGTGTCCTGAATTTTCATCTTAGCTTTGCCTGTAACACAGTAGAATGTACTCCATCGTCCTGTAGGTCAATAAATCTTGAGCTATTTGGGAGCATATTACCTTCAAGCAATGATTTATTTAGTGCACTAGATGTAGATATAAAATGCAGCTGTATTTGGATTGAAATTTTTTTGTTGTTTTTGGGGTATTCTGTAAACACAGAAGAGTTCAAAGTCATAAATTACAACTTAAAATTGTAGCAAGGCTAAATATAAAATCCTCATGACCATTTCAGTTTTCTAAGCACTTGCAAAAAGAGATATTTTTTCCCTTGGAAAATGATTTATTTTATAAAATTCATTTATCGTAATACCTTAATAACTATAATCATACAATTTCATTCATGTATGAAACCTTTCCTCCTTCCCAAGTAAAGAATGATTAGGGAATCCAGAAAAGTTTATTTGATACCCTGCTATACAAAATGAAAAGTAGAACAAGAATTTAGTTCTTTTGTCAGTGGGATGAATCAGCCTACCTACCATCTACTGTTCATCTGACTACATCCTTCCTACAGCTCTTGCAATGACTGCATAAGGGAAGACACGGAAGACAAGATTTACAAGATGGTGTCCTCTCAGCGTTAAAAATTGTAAGGAGTTTGGCTTTTACTCTGGGTAAACTAGAGAGCCATTGAAGGGCTCTGAGCAGAGAAGTAACATGATCTTACTTAGACTTGAAAAGGATGGTTGAGGAGAAGACTGGCCTAGAGATATACCTATAGAATTGTCAGCATGTTACTGGAAAACTAATGAATAAATGATGTGCTGTGGGAATAATGCATGGGGCCACCAGCCTAGTGGTGAAGGGAGTGGTGGGGAAAGTTTCTTAGAGGTTATCTATCTATCTATCTATCTATCTATCTATCTATCTATCTATTATCTATCTATCATCTATCATCTGTCTATCTATCTATCATCTATCTATCGTCCAACCCTCCAGTTAACCACTGTATCCCCAGTGTCTAGAATGGTCGATAGCCTATAATAATTGCTCTCACATATTTGTTGAATGAATAAATGGAATTAAGTCTTCCAGATTGATTAGGAGTATCCTAGCAAATTGAGCAAAAGAGCAGAGAAATAAAGCACTGTGGATGGGAGCCACCTCCAGGCATCATGGTCCTTCTACTAGCTGAGCTTTAAGTGGGGTGGGGTGGGGATGGGGAGTGCTTTTTTCTAGTGCAAGATTGTGTGAGTAACCCCTCATCACCATACACCAGCTTAGGTAGCCACATAAACCAGCTGCCCAAATCTTCCTTAGCATTGAGCCAAAAGGGACTTGATCCCAGGGCCCTGGGATCACGACCTGAGCTGAAGGCAGATGCTTAACAAACTTGAGCCACCCAGGGGTCCCGACCACCGCGCTTTTAACTGAAGTGTTCTTAATTGCATGTAGACCTCTGCCACGTCCATCATCTCTCTGACCACCATCCTCTAACCTTCCTGCTCATCGTTACTTCCAGTTTTGCAATTCTCTGACCACTTCTCACTATGTTACTCAAGCTCTTAGCAGCCAGCAAGCCTGGTTCTTCTCTTCACTCTCAGAAAATCACCTCTGTGGGGAGGCGTTCCCTGTCTACCTTCTCTAAATTATGTTCTCCTCTGAGATTCTCTCCCATATAAGGTTCCCCAATAAGAATGCTACTTATTGGGGCGCCTGGGTGGCTCAGTTGGTTAAGCGACTGCCTTCGGCTCAGGTCATGATCTTGGAGTCCCTGGATCGAGTCCCGCATCGGGCTCCCTGCTCGGCAGGGAGTCTGCTTCTCCCTCTGATCCTCCTCCCTCTCATGCTCTCTGTCTTTCATTCTCTCTGTCTCAAATAAATAAATAAAATCTTTAAAAAAAAAAAAAAGAATGCTACTTATTTTCCTCAGCATTTACTGCAACATGAAATGATTTTATTTACTTACTTCTGTGTTGTCTCCTCCCATTCCCAGCTCTATTGCAGTAGAATATGACTGCAGAGGTCTTATCTTTTTTGTTCTCTGTTGGATCTCTGGTACCTAGCATGTTGCCTGACACATTGAAAATGATCAGTAAATAATTGTTCAATGGGTAAATGGGATTTTTTAAAAAACCAAAGGTGGATTCTCTATGTCAAAAGTTTCAAGATGCAGTAAAAAATGAATCTGTACATCTCTCTAGTAACAGGATTTATTTACACAATTATATTACACTTCTACCAGCCTTTATACCATATTTAATTAAATAAAAAATAAATTTACGAAAAAGTCTATCATGGTGTTCTTGCCAATGTCAGCTTATGGTCTTTATAAACTTCTCCTAAACATTGATAGTGGTTATACCTTGATTGTATCATGATTATGATTTCTTCTTCTTTTTAAATTAATTAATCAATTAATTTTTCTTCTTCTTCCTTTTTAAATCAAAGAGACTAGTGTCAGCTTGTTTGTCATTTCAAATAGGAAAAATAGTGCGGTATGATGAGTCCCTGCACATAACCAAGACGTCCTTCTCGTGTACACAAAATCAGAGTTGTGCATGCACAAATAGTCACTTTAAAATACAAATCATTTTTACTTGGGATATTTTAGATTTTCTTGAAATACCAAGTGGAAGGAGAAATTCAGCTTCTGTTCAGTGACTACTACACATTTAAAAATCAGGTGGTGCCTCAGACTATGGTGTTCAGAAATTTTACATTTTCATTTACATTGGAGAGCAATGACTGAGGAAAAAGATTGTCATGAAAATAGAAGTTTCGGGGTGCCTGGGTGGCTCAGTCGTTAAGCGTCTGCCTTTGGCTCAGGTCATGATCCCAGGGTCCTGGGATTGAACCCTGCATCGGGCTCCCTGCTCTGTGGGAAGCCTGCTTCTCCTTCTCCCACTCCCCCTGCTTGTGTTCCCTCTCTCACTATGTCTCTCTGTCAAATAAATAAATAAATAAATAAATAAATAAATAAATAAAATCTTTAAAAAAAAGGAAAGAAAATAGAAGTTTCTTTTGCTTTCT